CCCTAGGTGGTAGACGCATATCCAGCGTTTAAAGTTCAGCCTCTGTTGTAAAACAAAATGCAAATTTAATGGTATGACTTTCAGTCAAAGCCGTTTCAACCCGTTTCAAGGCAAACTCACAGTCCATGGGTTCATGCATATGATGATATACTCACACGATACACAGTACGTACTTTTTAAATTTGTTCCAGGTGAGTTACTTTCCTTCAAACGAATTCAAAGCTCGAACAATGGAATGAATTGTGCTTCATCAGCTTATTTTGTGTCGAATCATACAAGAGAATATACCAAGCAAATGTTAAATTCATAACATTTGTAAGAAACACACTTTTCAATAGTCTCCTGCAGAGAACATCTCACTGTAACTAACCATATATCTATATATATTTTCTGTTTTTAATGCAATGTAGTATGTTTATTGTGCTGTTTTCCCGGGAAGTGTAATTTCACAATTCAATATTTGTTATATATATATTTTTTACTGGTGTGTGTGTGTGCGTGATGTAGACAATTAAAAACACTATCACGTCTCCAGAGAGTATATTGTGATGTATCAACGGCTGGGTAAACAATCGACACATTCGTATTATTAACGGTCTCTACATCTGAAAGGCAATACAAGTAATGAGATAAAATAATGGACTTTTCAAACGAGTAAATAACACACGTACGCCTTCTGTAATGAAATCTACCAAAAGACTCTCCACATGTTTTAACGTTTATCTCGTGCCCCACGTTAATACATTGCTGTCTAGAATGGGTTATTGTACGGTGTACCTTCAATCATATTTCTTGACACTGACAACATGGCTGTAAACTCTTATATGATGCTATCTTTAACAATACTTGTACCAATAAATTTGTTAAATATGTTATTGACGTAATATTTCGGGTATGTTTTGTCATGTGAAATGAGAATGTTAAATTTAGCAATGAAAGGTACTACTAATCGTTAGGAAATGTAATCACAAGCATCACGGGGTAGCTAACATGGAAATATCTTTTTTCATCCGTCAAAATGACACGTGCTTATTTGTGTCATAGTGTTGTTAACGGAGTCTAGCATTTTGTTTGAAAAAATGTATTTCACTCTAACCAAATGGCAAATTATTCAGTTTTATTTGCATAACAGAAAATAATGTTCTCATGATTTATAAATGATGATGAAAACTGGCAACGCTTTGGCAACACGTAATAGTAATTGTAGTCGACCTGGTGCACAATAATACTTCATGTGTGAATTCATTGTTCATATCAACTGGTGTGCAATATGTTTGTCAACTAAATAAATAAGCTTTAGTTTGTTCATTATACAACAAACAATGACATATTTGCCAACAAAATATTCTTGCTCAACACTCGAGTTTTAACTTCCGATTATTAACTCAGAAAGTAGAAATAACGGTGTCCTACAAATCACATTCATCACCTGATTATTCTGGTTCCAAGGAATCCCGCTACCAGTATATTATATAATCGTAAGATTCCTTAACGGTATGAATATAACAGCTATCACATACATTTTTAGAACCCTCGAGAAAGAAGATTCATTGTGATTTAATCATGGTTCCACAGAGAGTTCTTATCGTTGTAAGCACAGTAAAGTTTATAAGATGAATACTGTAAGTCTTATTCGTCAGTAGGATCGTAAAACTAATATGCTCATATTTTCATGAAGTGTTTAGATGGGGATTAAATAGTCGATTACATGTTGAATGAAATGTGGTCCCTGTTGTGAAATAATTTGAACGGCTCGCTCTTGGAGTATTCTGTCATAGATACAGAATTTCCTGAAGGAATTTTCACTGTTGACAGTTGGGCCATTGTAAGGATACGTACGTTACCGAGGTTAACGCTGTCGGAATACCTTCTAGTATTACGTATGAGGGTTATATAAGAAGTACTACAATGCGATATTCTTTGCATGTGCATCACAATTGACGATTCTTTCTCCCTTGTGAATAATACAAATAACGCATGCGAATAAATTAATACTTCAATATGGTTCCATGCATAGTAAAATGTTATGTTCGAAAATAAATAAATCTAAATTAATACACAAAGCAGTTTTAATCAATCAAACGATATTCGGTAACCATGATCAGCCAACTACGTCGAATTGTTTTTTATTTGAAATATATCACAGTTACGACAAGAAAACCCTCCTACACGATTAAAGCCATTTTCAGTAGCTTTTGAAAATTAAATAGAAAATCTTACTTTGTAAAAATAAATGAAGTGAGAGAGTGATTATAATTTATGGTGCATGTATGAGGGATAATTATACATACAACATAATAGCGAAAGGAAGTTATAATGCATTATGAGTAAGTATGGATGTGACAGATCTATATGACGAGTAATTAAAGAAGCACTGACGTATATACAGTCGCTGTCGAATTTAATACATATATTTACAATTTTATCATTTGAATAGAACACACTAACTTGTAACATCAAGTTATTGCAATACAATTTAAATATGAAATTACCCATTATATTGTATCCCATTTTCTGTAATGTAATGTCCAACTACAACATATTCGTGCAATGATCTTTCAGTGTTCCCATGAAATCTACATGTTAAATGTTTTAAAAAACAGAACGAATTACGAATTGTAATGAACAGCCTGGCGTGGTTTACGCTGGAGATGCACTGTAACGTTAACTGAGAACATGTACAAAACTGCATATGCGTTTCACAACAAACGCGATAGTTATTCATAGATACAGTTTCAAATTAGTGTGACGAGCAATGTCAAAACTGAATACTGGAACGTCGCAAACAATGTATTTCTGATGCTATTATCCAAAGCAATCTAATGGTCTAAAACCATGTGTATAAAAAGAACCTTTTACACAGACGAAAACTGTCACAATAGAACTGCCACTTGCAATAGAATGTGAGAAAACTCGATTAAATGATGGATTTGATAAACTACTTCCGTATAGGCAAACAGTTATTGTGGTCATTAACAAAACTGTATGGCATATATTGTCACTTAGCATGTAAGCAGTACGAACCTAAATCATCTGTCTACACAACCCCGTACATATTACGTATATTATTACATTGGTTACAGTCTATGACATCATGCATTGGTTGTGCGTTGTTTGTTGCCCATGAAATATAACATTAGATTCATTTATAAACTTACTTACCATGGCTTTAAATTGCTGGAAAGAAATGACGATACGTAAATCTGTATTAAAATGTCATGTTTGCCTTGAAAATTATAATTGTTCATCAATATTTAATTTACAAACCGACTCATATGAAGGCGGATAATTCATATAGATGACGATAGTTTGTGCACTATTGACACGTGACCATATATTTACACCAAAGTTTAGCTCGGTAATATATCTCAAAGTCGATTGATAACAAAACCCACTCAGTTGTGTTTGATTTATTGTGAACACTGACTGCGCATGCTCTATGGCCGTTTCACCGTAATTGTCATTTTGTATAACCTTCCACAATCTAGTCCTGTACGATAACTTATGCAATCAAGCGCAGTTTTTCAAACTTTGATTAAAATATAAAAAAAACATAAAGTTATATTTATTTTGTCTAAAATTTAAGGTTAAACTTACAGAAAGGTTCAGAAAAGTGTTGATCTTTGGCCTGTTTACCTTCGTGATCATTCTCATGTGAATGCTATTTTATTTGATGGCGCACTAGAAGACCATGCCACTTCTACGTGAATATTGACTACATAAAACTGAATGGTTGCAAGTTAAATGTATATCTGTGCAGGTGAGCAGGGCACTTGTAAGGTAAGTATGACGTCTAGTTACCCAGAATCATGCCATTGACTAAATCTTGTTGTTGAAACTCGAAACAAAACCGTGTTCATTGTTCACAAAAATCCGTGGTTTATATGTTTATTACATTTTTTCCAAAATTATGATTTTTTTAAACTGATTAAGTGCATGTTTTGGGACAGTTAGCGGGGCTGACTGTTTTTTCCTTCATGACATCCTAACCCCTAACTCCTCCCCACCCCTCCGGCGGATGTTCCATAGTTATAATATAAAACAAAAAGATGCAATCAGTCAACAACAACATGCCAAACCCAAAATAAGTTAACTGTTTTATTCGGGACGTATTTGGAATATATTAGTACATTAAGATATGTATATTTATGTAAATATATATATTATATAATTCATGTAAAGTGAACCGTGAAGTGATGGTTTAATAGGACCCGTAATACTGCATTTACGACAGATCCCAAACGAGCTATACAACTGTGCTTTGCGCAAACAAAGTATTCTAAGTGGAGTTATCAAACTCGAGGTTCATTTCCCCATTGCCTTAGATTCACCCGGGAGGTTACCATGGAAACCTATTTCGCCGCGGAATCACAATCAACAAATCTGTCATCTATAACACGTCTATAATTTCAGGGGTGTTTGGAGAACAAAGGGTACCGCTAAAAATATATTGGAATATAATATGGATTTCCAGGTAAAGCGTACAGACGTGTGAGCTATAAACCTCTTCGTCCGGCCTGTCACTATTACTATTTTCAGCTACGCCATGCGAGCACACGTACTATACTCCCCTGCGCCATAACGTGTATAGCAGTCGGGATATCTGCAAAGAGTATGCGCTGTCTGAATGATATTAGCTTAGGAGATCCAATACTGCTTGGTGAACTATGCGCAGCGAAACAATGTTTACTCTCAGAGGTTCTAAATAACTGTCCTACCGTATTGCAGATTACCCGCAGCTGTTGCCTAGTAACACATACATTCGATTGAAGTGATATTATTGGAGTGTATTATAATATATAGCTACACTTGGGTTTTCAAAGCGTCGGCGAGTAACGTGGGGCGTCCAGTCTGACGTCCGTTTGTGACATCTTCTTGTTCAGTTTCGATAGAACCTTGCCGCTCTATTGAGCAAAGATCGCATCAATACGAAAGCAGAACCTGTGAATGAATATCCATCTTTCCGTGTGTTTCATATTGCAACGACGTATACAGTGAGAATGGAATCCTACGATCGGTCATCGGAGGCTCCGACGGAATCACTGATGTTCACACCACAGGGTAACGGTACCGTAGCTAACGACACGTTGGAACAATTCTCCCCGGTCTCTGCTCCATTAGAAGTGTGGCTACCAACCGCCTTAGTTTATGGCATCACTTTTGTGGTGGGTCTCATTGGTAACGTTCTCGTCATTTTCTCCATACAACGTTGTCGTCGATTGCAGAACGTCACAAACACATTTATAGCGAGTCTTGCTGCGGCGGACTTGATTATCGTCGTAATTGTTATACCTGTTCAAATGGCAACGTATTTCCAGCCGAGATGGGAACTCGGCGAACTCATGTGTAAGTTGTTACCATATCTGACCCTGCTCTCAAGTTCATGTTCGATATTCATGTTGACAGCCATGAGTGCCGAAAGGTAAGATTTTCTTGTTTTTGAAATGTTGATGGTGGGATATCAGTATTCTAATTTAAGTTTGTGACTGTCAAAAATTGCTTTTAATTATGGAAAATTGAAATCAACTTTTTCGAATCAAATTATGAGCTTGAATTCCGCATGTGACCGTACAATTCATTTGTCATATGACAGTTGTAACCGTTGCATGTCAATTTCCATCATTTGTACAATACAATCAAAGCCAGATCTGTACACGCTCACTTTTCATGAATGAACAAATACTCAATGTCAATTTCCTACGGGTTTGAATACATATCACAGCATGGAACTTTTCGACCACGTTCATCAAATCTACATTGTGTTCGGGGGTTGTAATGAATAGCGAATGACATCCCACAGCACGCAAATGTGTTGTAATAGTTACTTTCATTATCATCTCGCACAATGTCGGATTACTTAGCTTAAATCCGGTTTATATTCACAATGCTAAATGCATATAGACGCAAAGAGTATTTAATTTGACCGTTAATTGCGATCACCGGTAACTGATAAACATTGTGTTAGCGGGAACGAACGGAGATGACGCCCTCACCCCATAGCGGATTGTTAGTTGAAGACATGTGATGGCCTACAATTATTGCATGCTTGGATGAAGCAGAATTGTAACAAGTCAGTTTCAGTTTACCTAGAATACAAATGTATGCTTATATGCAACTCATCTGTCACCAGTGTAAATCACTCCTGGTCTACCTACAACTGTTTGAACTGGTAACGTATCCTGGGGTGTCTGTTTTCGTTGAATCATTAACACATCGTCTCTGTGCTCTCGCCAAGGGCATCTAAGATTAGGCACAATTGACGGGTCAATATATACTGTACTGTCGGCATATATTCACGTTATTTTCTTATCATGGCCTTCGTACCCGTGGGGCGCTACTTCGATGCGACCGCAATTTAACAAGTGCCTTTCCTGTGTTAATTAACTCATCTGTCTTTCAAACATAACAAGGGATTCCGTCGTATGCTCCCATGTGATTGCTCGTATTACACGTAAAACATTAACATACTTCATTCTCCGGGTGCTATTAACAGAGGGCAGCGTTCAAATTTGCATTTAACATTACAATCAAATAGATGTAAAGTGCAATATTGAAGCGTTATTTAGTTTTAATGCCACAGAATTCTATAATTCAAAAGTGACAATGTGTGTATTTTAAGATAGAATACTGAGCAAATTATCGTTGATAGATTAGTGTGAATTGTTGACATGACAATAAATATTATTATTATACATACATCTGTCACCGTAACGCCATAAGTTACAGCGTGTCGTAATTTTGCGGTATTTCACGGGGTATTTTCATCCTACTACATTAGGAAATGCGAATTCCAAATATGGAATGATTACGCGCGTAAGCGTCCTCTGATAGTAAAAACAGACATGGCTGCCACCAGGGTTTGACCGGACTCCACAAAAAATAATTCGCTGCGCGTCGGTCGATACTTCCATCGTATTGTCTTCGTGCATACTTTGAGGTATTCTGATAATATATACAACTAGTTACAGGCGACAATGCTGTAGAGAACAATCTAAATCTGTTTTCTTGTTGCATTGTGTAAACCATTTTAATAGTGTACAACCTAAAGCGCGTGTGCGTATACGTTATGCTACGAGTGGTTTATTACTCAGTTCAGTTGATCACAGGCACTTTATTAATTAAGGAATATTCATAAAATTTTACTTCACTTGATAAATGAAGTACTTATTAAGCAAATTATATATATATATTTTTTAATTACTCAGATCAACAGACCAAAGAAAGCCCTTGCCACGTTGTATTTTATAATCGGTATACATCGTATTTCATTATTGCAGATGTAATGAATGAAACATCTGATAATCAGGATGATTTCTCAAATATGGAGTTTATTGCATGAATTCCAATTTCACCTTTTTGAACTCTATTTCCTTCATGCTCCCATGGAACCCATTCTGAGAAACTGTTACAAATTTAGTCATTTTATCCCTGCCATAATTTGTTTCTGGTTTATTACCAATCGCTTCTCCCCAACAACAAACAAAGTCTTACAACCGCTTTACACGACCTGAATACAAGCATGTATACGTGTGTAACTTATCAGTATGCAATAAAGTACATGAGGATATTGTCACATATTATACTTTTGCCTACACGGGTCTCAACTTATTCGTCCAAATCATACTACATTTGCTGATATGGGACTTCAACCCATGCTATGGTACATTAGGTTGTCCAAGATACGGAACCATGCACTTTATTACGTATTGTTACATATGTACGCGCACGTACAATAACATAGCTTGCACGGCGTCACATTGGGTGTTGGCGTAAGGATTAATCTTAAAATGGAAATTCTTTATATTGTGCAAACGGTTGAATGTGTCATCACTTTGAAAGGTTGGTCTCACTTTGGATTCTCAACAGATAAAATGAACACCGCAATCTCAGGTGTTTCCTGTCCGATAACGCACATAATTTACCATTCTAACGTAATAACTCCTCCCTGGTGACACAGCTAAGTAGTAGTCAAGAAAATACAAAACACTTGCTTTTTTTTAAGTAATTGAAGAAAAGAATTTGTTTTATGGTAAGTCATTTTTCTACACACCTGCTCTTTTGCGTTATATTTTTACATCACGTTAATTATTAAGTCTTGGTAAAGTACGAGTGAATGTCAATATTTATAACATTATAATTTTAAATGTAACCGGAAGCAATCGATATATCAAGTTCCAAATACTACAGGTCACAATCTTGACTAAAGCGCCATTGTCTTCACGCAGCGCGCTTTCTAATATCTTTTATTCCACTCGCGTTGTATACGTAACATGGGACCCATTCGAATAGGACGCGATGTGACGACTGTGCCGCTCTAAATTAAACAAGTTCCGGTTGTTTTAGTAATTGCTCATATCTGCAAAATATAAACACGATTTGTATTTCAGTTACTCGACGTTTTTTTTTTATAAATTAAGAACCAATAAATTATGGGGACAAATGCGATGACACGCAACTGAAAATGTCTCTATCCAATATTGCTAAACCGCGGATGGTTATGTATTCACTAAAATATTTATGTTGCTGTTCGTGGTTGACTCATGGTTACTACAATGTTGCAATATACGACCCGAACGTGGTGCGTAAGTTAACACCAAGCGAGGCAGTCATTACCAATTCCATTACTATTTAATGGCGCATTGCTACGAGTTTATTCGAATGAGTTACTTGTTGTATATAAAAAATACATATTAAATCCCATGTGATGAGTACAATTATGTTCTTCTGAATAATCGAACAGATTACATTTATTGACTATTTCTGACCTAATGTTGATTAAAATGTTTTCATCAGTTTACCTTTCAAGAGAACAGTGATAAAACAGTACCTTACGTATATTTGTGAATAAAGTACAAGCATACAGAGACATTGAATACTGTTTTTGTTATTATTTATGACGTATCACGCTACTGTGGATTAAGGGTACATTTATAGTGACGTTGATGCATTATTAGAAATATGCATATTTGGAAAGAAGGCTTTAGAGGCACCGGGTGTACATATATGTGACATGTATCATTGCATCACTTTTATGTTTCAGAAAATAGTTGAAAACTTAATTACAATCAATCAACCTTATATGCCAGATTAGGTTGGCGTTTAGCCGTTTCACACAGCGCCAATGGGATGGATAGGGTTGACTTCCCCAACCTTTAAATATTCCAAATATTTGACATATTTTATAAGTACCACGGGATTCATATAGCGCACGTGCATTAAATCATTAGAATAAGATCCATTGTTGGCAGCACTTTCGAACCAAGTCTTATTTCACCCAAGCACCAACAATCTTCAAAATTAAATGTGGTTTTATGTTTACGATAAGTCTACTAAAACAGCAGGGTAGACTAGCGAGCACGGATATTGTTGACTCTGTAGATTTCAATCTATGGACGGAAGCTTACTTAAGTATCGATTACCAGAATTTCATTTCCGTTGGCCCCGGGTAAACGTTCATTGCGGCGTTTGCCATTTTTGCTAAATTGCAATAAGTTTGCCATACTCCCCTCTGTTCCAATAGCTTGAAACGGCTGACAGTAAAACCATTAGTTGTTATACATCTCCCCCAATTTACTTAGACTATGATCAAAATTCACAAAGCGGGGATAATGGGCAAATATCAAGCTGTCAGTGATTGATTGTTTTGGATAAATCACTATTATTGGTATTGCACCTTCGATAAATTATAATTGTAGTTCCTCTGACCGTGTCAGAACAATTATTTATTGCATCATTTATGCTAGTGTTTTCAAACTATTTAGAATAATCAACAGGTGGTAGTTATGATGTCAACTTTATTATATTTTTATAAAGAAAACCATTTCAGCTAATGTAGTACGCTCAACAACATCAGCTAAGGTGCAGATATTCTTCCACATCACGTGACAGCAGATATGTAGAATAAAGAAAGCACAACTCGAGTTTGGTCTAAACCTTGTTCTTTTTTGATAAATGAAGAAGACATACTTGACCCTCCGTTTTTGCAATATATATTTCGTTCAAAGTATACATACTTTCTCGTTTCTGCATGTAGTTGTTTGATATGGAATGACAGGGTGTCTGATAGTCGTACTATGAATACGCGATGTGCGGTGAATTCTTTCAACTCTGTGCATGGTTGCACCGATGTACATTACTGCCAATACATCGGTAAATGTGTTCAACGCTGTAACTTTAGAGAACTTGTGTCATTATTTTCACTAAATAATTCTAACGACATCCTTCTAGTATTGTAAAAGTATGGTGTATCATCGCTTTCTGTCACCATCCATCAGCTCAGAACTTATGTTTCATTATGGCTTTCATTTTTACTCATTGCGATAACTTACTACGTCTTTTGTTGGCAAGGGTTTCTCCCCATGTACATATGTTTCCACTAGAAACTACTTTATATAGACTCTGCTGAATCAGTGTTGTAGCAGA